AGATACATGTCATTATATATCTGTCCAAACCCATAGAATGTGTAACATCAAGAGTGAACCTTAAAGCAAATAATGGGCTTTGGGTGGCTATATTGTGACAATGTATCTTTATCAGTTGTAACAAATGTACCATTCTGGTTGGGGGTATTGATAATGGGGGAGGCTGTGCATGTGTATGGGTGGCAGGGATATGGGAACTCTCTGTACGCTCCCGTTTTTCTGTATCTAAAACTGCTCTAAAAACAAATCTTAAATATAAAAAAAAAAAAATTAAAATAAGAGTAGAGGTAAACGACTGAAATATTGAAAATAATAGCAGAGGGGCACCTGGGTGGCTCAGTCGTTAAGCGTCTGCCTTTGGCTCAGGTCATGATCCCAGGGTTCTGGGATCGAGCCCCACATCAGGCTCCCTGCTCGGCGGGAAGCCTGCTTCTCCCTCTCCCACTCCCTCTGCTTGTGTTCCCTCTCTCGCTATGTCTCTGTCAAATAAATAAATAAAATCTTTAAAAAAAATAAATAATAGCAGAACTTTAAGAATTATAAAACATTGCAGTATAATTTGTTAATGGGCAGTATTTATTAGAAGGTAAATTCATAAAAATCCAACCCAGCAGAAGAGGGACTGGCAATAAGGTTTTTGGAGGAAAAATGATCAAATTTAGGAGAGTGTACAATTTTAAATGAGACTTTGGAGAGTCAGACAAGAAAGGTGAAGAACTGGGCTGAATTGTGGAATGTTGTGCACTCCTGTGATTCCTAAAATGGGGTGTGCTGAAGATACAATGATGTTTGACCACAAGAGTTCAAAAAGGCTGAAACTGTGGACAGTACTTCCTGCCCCCGCCCTCCCCCCAAGTGTGAAACATCAGGACCCCCTCCCCATATTATAATAAGCTCTGATATGAGAAAAATCAAACCCATATGCAAATGAAGTAAATGGGAATTGGATAAGGAACCATGACCAGTGGGGTCAGTCCTGGGTGGACTGGGGAGGGTTTGGGTCAGAAAGAATGCAGTAATTCAGAACATTAAATTATGAGGGAAAGGGTTACTTCCTGAGGCCTGTGCCTCAAGATGGCTTCTGGTAAAGCTTTAAGTCAGTCTGTTCTCCAGCTAACTGTGGTCCTCCCATCAGTAGAATGGCTAGTCACATGTGCCACACCTGTGCTGCCTGGCCTGCTTTGACCCTCTAGCGCCCGCTGCCAAGTGAAACCCCAGAAGCCATGGGGCAGGTGGCTCCTGCCAGCTGTAGCTCTCTCTGCACAGGGTGCAAGCTACCCCAGGACAGGTCAGGTCAGCACAAAGCCAGCAGGGGCTGCAGCCAGTTCCCCAAAGAGATGAAAAAGTCTAAGGGTTTGGTGTCTGAAAATACAAAAACAAAATCCTTGGCGAGCTGTATCAATAAAAACAGAAGGAGAAATGTGCACAATTCGAAATGAAAAACTGAGAAGTAGCCACCAATACAGAGGAAATTAAGAAATCCTAAGTGCCCGTATTGTAAAAACTATGCAAATATGTTGAAAAAAATGGATTGTCATTAATTTTCTTAAAAATATGGAACTAGGGCGCCTGGGTGGCTCACTTGGTTAGGCGACTGCCTTTGGCTCAGGTCATGATCCTGGAGTCTCGGGATCGAGTCCCGCATCGGGCTCCCTGCTCGGCAGGGGGTCTGCTTCTCCCTCTGACCCTCTTCCCTCTCGTGCTCTCTGTCTCTCATTCTGTCTCAAATAAATAAATAAAATCTTAAAAAAAAAAAAAATATGTAACTAAAGTTGACTCCAGAAGTGCTTGAGGGCCTAACCTTCCCAATGGGAGGAATTCAGAAACATACCATTGGATGCCCAGGCAGCCCCCAGGTGAGTTCTTTTACACTTAAGATGATGATTCTAAAACCACGTAACCAGTTGCAGAATATAGAGATTTTTGTTTAGCACACAAAAGCAAGCGGCAGAATGATTAATCTCAATTATCAATATTAATAGGGGAAATCACAAGTAGGGATCACCTCAGGACCCTAACAGTGGTTTGGTCTTAAGGAATCTATTAATATAATACAACATACTACTAGAGCAAAGGGGAAAACCTTCTGATCATCTCCATGGATACTGAGAGGCTGCGACAATAATCTAACATCTACATTTTCCCCAGAAAGCCTTAATAGTTGCAGAATACACAGATACTTTTTTTATTATGACAAGGAAAATACATGTCTTCATACAAGTTGAATAGTGAGACACTGAACCATCCCACTAATGTCATGAACAAGATAGGTATGCCACCTGAATCACTATTATTTGACACTGTTCTCAAGGGCAGTTGCCTAAGGGATAGGAATAAGGGAAATTATTGGAAAGGAAAAAGCAAAAGAAAATCTTAGAAACAGTAAGAAAATACATTTAAAGTGGTTGATTGTGACATTAATATACAAAATCAACTACATTCCTATACATCCAGTTAGCAAATAAAATGGAAGAAATATTCCATTGAAAATGGTAGCCAAAGGATAAACTATCTAGAACTAGACAAGAAATTCATAGGACCTATCTGCACAAAACCATAAAAATCTACCAAGCGGCGTAAGATAAGATTTGAACACAAGCCTAGACTGCACTCTTGAATAGGAAGACTCATATAAATTCATTGTGACCTCAATGAGGGAGACAAACCACATAGGAAACAAACGGGGGGTTGCTGGAGGGGAAGTGGGTGGGAGATGGAGTTACTGGGTGATGGGCATTAGTGGGGGCACGTGATGTGATGGGCACTGGGTATTATATGCAACTGATGAATCACTGAACTCTACATCTGAAATAATGATGTACTATATGTTGGCTAATTGAATTTAAATTAAAAAATGTATGTATGGGAGAGGGAAATAGAGAAGAGAGAGGAAGAGGGGAAGGGAGAGGCAAAAAAGTGTTAAGGGGGATGGTTAACTTGAAAAATATTAATATATGAATATTTGATATATGAATAAAGCTTCAGAAATGAAAGGCATTCACAGAGAGACAAACCAATAAGTATAAATAGCCCCAAAACACTTAACAGGAATTTAGTTTACAAACAAGGAGGCATTCTGAACAAAATGGGGGAAAGACTAACTGTATTACAGGGATACACTATTATATATTTTGTTGGCACAACTGACCATTTGGAGAGAAAAAAAATTCATTTTTACCTTCATTTCCTGCAGTGAATGAATTCCAGGGAGTTAGAAGATGTAAACAAATGAAACCATAAAAATTTAGAAAAAAATATGAGTAAATTTATTTATAATCTCAGAATGGGGAAAGGCCTTTTAAAACTGGAAACAAATCCCAGGATCTACCAAAGCAGGTCTGGGTAAATTGACAACATAAAACTTTAAACTTTCTATAGGCTAAGAAATCAATAAATAACATCAAAAGACAATAAACAAATAAAAATATTTTCTAAAAAAATATTTTCAAGATATAAGACAGGGAAGTTCCAAAGTACAGAGGCTAAAATTAATTAAGAAAAAGCCAAATAACCCAAAATTATGTAAAGGACATAAATTTACAAAAATTGAAATTTCTAAAAAATATCTGAAAGATACTTAACTTCATAATAAAATGAGCTAAATCAGAATAACATTGCAATATAATTTTTACCAGATTGGAAAAAAATATTAAGTTTGATAATACCCAGTACTGAGAAAGTTGAGAAACTGGCCTTTTCTTTATACTTTTGGTAGATATATTCATTGATCGGTATTTGGAGGGTAATCTGGCAATACCTACCAAAATGTTAAATGCACATAGCCTTAAATCCAGCAATTCTCATTTCCCACTTATAATTTATACCAAGATATGGTCAAAAACGTATCCTAAGCTATAAATCAAGGATGCTAACTACAGATTTGTGTATAAAAATAAAAACTGGAAAAACTCTATATGTTCACTAACCGATTAACCAAAAAATTATATCCACCAAGAGAATGGAATGCTAAGCAGCTATTAAGAAGAATGAGGTAGATCTTTATATGTTGTTATGGAAGGATGAAATACTAATCGCAGAAAGCAAAGTGCAGAGTGCTGTGCATATCATGAGTGGTAGTAAAGGAGTCTCTCTCCATGCCCCCTTCCTCCCCCTCCTGGCCTCCCTCCCTTTCTTTTTCTTCCTTTCTGGAAATGTCCCCTAGCCCTCAGAAGCTCACTCACCGGTGGTTTCTGTAGCTATTCATGCCTTTCTTACTACATGTGCATCTTTTCCTTATTATTACTTTTTAAAATGGCAGAGTATTAGTCGAGTGGTCAACATATAAACTACTTTTGTTTGTTTTTTTATGTTTTTCTGTATAAATACAAAATCAAAAAAGTTTTCTTTTTCTAAGCAAAAGTGTTATGGGATTAATTTTCAGGTAGCAATAAGAAATGAAGCATTCTCTGATATATCAAAACACTTCTACTTGTGTCTACAATAGAAAAAAAAAAAGAGAGAGAAAGAAAAGATTGTGCATTGTTCATCCATCCCATGTGGACTGGCTGAACTCTGAGGACAACCTTGCTCCAAATGGCGTGATATTAGCTAGAATGCGCTTACTTATCAACCTTCTTGTCCTAAACAAGGTGTCCCCCTGCAGCTGCGCACTCAGCGCTCACGCGCACCCACACACGGAGCATGCCCAAGCCTCCATTCTCCTCAGTGCAAACAAATCAATGTGCATTACCCAGAAATGAGTGAAATAAATGGCTGGAGAAAGGTATGCAATTTCTTTTGCTCTGAAAATCTAATCTTCCCCCATAATACACCCATCTCAGGGGTTAGAAGCAAATTAAAGATCCCCAGGAGCTCAAAGCCTTCTGCAGTTTTTGAGCTCGGATCTGTTACTAGACGAAACAACAGAACAGGAGAGATTTTGTTGTCTCCCTCTGATCGCATTAAAAAATAAGGAAAACAGGAAGAGGCAGGGCGACCATTGTCAGCTAGATAATGTTAAGTGGAGAACTGTGTCATCACACAGGTTTAAAATGAAAGTTTCCCTTGCTTTCAAAATGCTTATCTCCAGGGAATCTACCTGTTCAAGCCACCTTTCTGGGCTAACGCTGGGGTCATTGAGCTGTGGGAAAGCAGATCCCTAAAAGCCAGAGACTGGAGTTACTGGGTGAATAGCCACCCTCAGCCCGTCAGCCCCTCCTGCTGACTTCCACTGGCCTTGCGTCCAGGAAAGCCACTGGCCACATCATCCCCTTCCCAGTTCCTGCCATACAAGGAACCAGAAGAGGTCCCAGATCCTGCTTTTTGGCCTTGAGACATAAGGAAAAGCCTAGCATACTTTCACTTTATGTTGTGCATTTGTACGGACCCGCAAGTTTCTAAGACCAACCAACTCTAGCACACGAGAAACATCTAATGCATTATTAAACACACACACACACACACACAGCTGGCTTAATTTAACTTTAGCTATTACATTGGGCTGGTAATTCTAATAGAACCCTCTTTGTCCTTTGGGTTTTTCAGAATAGAGCAAACTGCACTCCCCAATGTCTGAGGGCAGCACAGGAAGTTTGGGAGTCACCTGGTATCTACAGAAATCCCCCTAACTTGTGTAGGTCTGGTCCTGGTTCAGAATCAACACACATCCGTGTCCCTCCTGATTCCCACCACAGGGTAGGTTGGCAGAAATCAAACTGGTAAAAGCATAATTTACAAGACCAACTATGTCTCGCTCTCTCTTATAAAACGTAGGAACAGTGTAAAATTGTTTCTCTCTACCATCTTTGGCAGAGAAAAATAAAACCTGAATCATGGAAAAACCAGCAGTTAGGTTTTTAGTTTTTGTTGTGTGTCCTTTTACCAATTATTTGAATGGATCTAGTGAGTGTGGTTTATTACTATTATTATTACTTTCAATCTAGGTTTGTAAACAGGCAAAAGCTTATGCTGAAGTTTCCATAGGTCTTCTTGGCAAGTGACATGCAGGCATGCAAAACCAACTGTACAGGCCTCCCCTGGTGGTCCTGAGCCACCCTGACCTCTGTGAAGGACTCCCCAGGCACTGGGAAATGGGCAAAATGACCTCTCAGTGGTCCTGGCGACCCTAAGGATGTTCCAAGAACATCAAGCCGCCCATGTGAGAGGATTAAACAAAACCGTGCTGAGATCCTATTACGGAAAGTAACAAGGAAACTATAAGGGAGATGACTGGCAGCGAGCGCTCCGGGTACATCAGCGTCCTCACGTCGAGTGTGGCTGTGGGACTAGCACCCCAAGTTCTCCCAAGCCAACGGCATCGCCTGTCTGCGCGCTTCCTACATGCGGGGGACCAGGACCAGGTTAGGCGAAGTCTTTGGACACAGCCTCGACGAAGTTTGGAGCTGACATCAGGATGCCGATGGTGCAGATGATGGTGAAGACGGAGAAGGCCATGAGACACAGGCGGTCCACCACGCAGGCCGCAAATTTCCACTCACTGCAGATGGCCTCGCTCTCGTCCTGGCAGCGGAAGCGGTTGGCGAGGTAGCGCACCTCCTCCAGGATCTTGGCCAGATCCGGGTCCCCCTCGGAGGGCTGCCCGCCGTGCAGGAGGTGCTCGTCGTGCGTGGGGGAGCAGGCCACGCGGCCGCACACGACGCCCGAGTCGGGGGTGGGGGCGCCGTGCACACCGTCCAGGCCGCGGAAGCCGATGTAGAGCAGGTTGCCGTTGGTGGTGGGCGGGGCCGCCACCGCGCTCACGTCCACACTGGCCAGGCTGCAGCGACGCGGCCTGTGCTGGCACGCCGGCCGCACCTTGTCCTCGCCCGGCCTCTTCATGCGCAGGAACCAGGCGCACCAGTTCAGAAGGATGACCCTGGTCTGGGGAGACGACAGGACGGTTAGGAGCGGGCAAGCGAGCATCGGTCCCAGCCCTGCTTGGGGGGCCCTAGGGGAGACAGGCCCCACTCGTTCCCAGGTGAGTTTACACAGGCAGGCACGCGTTGCAGCGGCTGAGTCAAACTGAGCCCAGAATAAACCAACGCAGAAAGTCGCCCTGGGAATGAGCGGAATTCCGTGGCAGACACACTGCGGTCTCGGGGCAGACGCACGCGGGAGGAGAGCCCTGTCTCGGAAAACGAGCCCTGCCCGAGCTGCGTGAACAAGACGCTTCCCCTTTGCAGTCTTTCCTCATCTGTCGCGAGCAACCGTCATACCCAACTGCCCGTGAGGCGCCCCAGTGCCACGGCGGACTTGCAAAGGCAAACCCCTGGAGATTTTTAAAATTTTCAAGGACAGCCCTGTGACACCTAGCAGGTGCTGCATGAACGCCTAGTCTGAAGCAGTTCCGACGACAACATCGGGTCCCTTGCAATGATGGCATACCATTGCAAGGCAGGTTTCTGTTGTCCTGACAAAAAGCAAGTGCCAAGAAAGTCAAAGTGGAACAGAAAATGGGGGCACTATGCCCCTAAGATTTGAAAGGGTATGCTGCCAACAGGTGCCTAGGGGTCAGGGCATACATACTTAAGTTGCTTTGACTGATGTAATAAAGAGAGCCATTAATGGTATTTCTTCTGCCCTAGGGGCTGTGAAAAAAATCCCTGAGACACTAAAGGTGCTGTGAACCAAGGAAGTTTAGGAACCTCTAACCTAATTCGCTAGGCTGAAGTGAAGACTGAGTACGATGATGTGCAGGAAAGTACTTGGACTTTCTTTAAAGGGCCACATAATAAAGTCCATAAGGTCTCTGTTGCAGCTACTCAGCTGTGTTAATAAAGTACAAAATAGTCATAGAAAGCATGAAAGAAATAAGCCTGGCTTTTTTCTAATAACATTTTATTTGCAAAAGCAGCTGGTAGGCCAGATTGGAGCCATAGTTTGCTGACCGCTGGTTTAAAGTGTTTTATCAACATATATTGCCTACATGCATAGATGATGCTGGAGAGAAATCATGGGGATTTCTTGTTTTTCCCTCTAATGAAAAGAAGGAGCCATGTGAAACCCCAGTCCAGGTCAAAACAATTCTTGGAAGCCTATTTAGACAGGTATATGAAAAGCGGGCCCTTTCCCTGAGATTATCCAGATAATGACTTTAATTTTGGTTTATGATTGTGGGTGAATTCCATCAGCAACCTAACAGGTTATGTTTCCCATCTGTAAGTACAGGCAGTAAGCTGTGAAGTTCATGTCTCTAGTACTTTTTATGACATCTTATCACAGATGACTGCAGTAGACTGGTCTGGAGACAGGCAAAGAACAAGAAGGCATAAGAGTATATTCACTGCAGATGTAAAGATAAATCTTTGCTCAGAGCAGACAGCACTCTATATATCCTGCCCATACCCTATGGACAAACCTGCAGAGCCTGGAAAAGCCTGTCTGCATACCCTGGAGGGTTTTCCGTGATTAGTAGAGAGCAGGGACACATGGCCCCACATGAATCTGCAGGTCTGGTCCTCCACAGGAGGCTCATAAGACATGCCAGCTCAATTGGGCCTCTCAGGGGCTCTGTGAAGTGAGTATAATTTCCCCCACCCATTTTACAGATAAAGAAACTGAGACTTCAAGGAGGCTAATAAATTGGCTCAAGGTCACACAGTAAAGCAAGTCACCTACGTGTTTAGGCTTCCACAGCTCATCTGTAAAAGGGTCTACAGTCTTCTTCAAAACTCCTGTGACTTTAGCCCAACCCCCACTTCGAAGGCACTGGAAAGACTGGACCAGAGCTCAAGCGAATGCACTGGGCAATGGGTGCTTCCAAACCCAGCGATAGCTGTACACATGGAGTGTGTGTGTTGGGCGGGGGGGGGGGGGGGGGGGGGGGGGGCGGCCTCTGCCTACCCTGGAGCACATCTCAAGCTAATGTGATCCACACTACCAAGTCTATTTTGAATTCCATGGCCTGAATCATTCGCTTTCGAAGCTAAAGCATCTCAAAAGATGAAATTATCCTCTTGGCACTTATCCAACTGTGCTCATGACCTCTTCTGTTAGGTTATGGTCTTGCGTCTGGCTGCGTAAATGTCACATAAGGCCACGGCATCGGCAGTATCTTCATAGCAACACATCATAATAAAAGTTCCTTGGAGGTTGTTTATTTTTTAAATACACACAAAGAAAGAAAAATGCAAGAGGCTATATAAATTGAAAGCGAGAGATACAAGCTTCATATTTCATTTGCAGCCATTGGTTTTAACATACTCCTGTGCTGAGAGGTGAATAATGAACAGAGGCTCGTAACTAAGATTTTTTTCTGGACAATAAAGTACTACCAGGTCATTAAAAATGGTTTGTGTCTTCACGTCTTAAACAGAAGAAATAATAATATGCGTTTGAGGCTTACATTTGCATAAACAAACACTTGAAGGATAATGGAGAAATTGCTTGAAATGGCTATCACTATTGGCGGTGGAAGCACAGTGAGGGGCAGGAATGAGAGCAGGATTTTACTTTGATTTTGATGTTTGGAACATGTGAATGTATTACCTATTTCAAACGGAAGGAGGGTAGCCAGAGAGTGTGTCAGGGTTATAAAAGTCAGATGGCAATGTAGGTGAATGTGTGCCAATGTGTCCCAGTTTTTAATGAGGGGACCTTCTCAAAATAAGCCCAGGGACTGCAGTGATGTGAATGTGTGGGGGATAGCACCACTTCTGGGAGCTCACTCCATTGCTATGAGAGAAAGTCATTATTAAGTGTACAGATTTGCAGTGGAAAAGAACCCAAGAGGACACAGTAACTTGGTAAAGTCAAATTTTTTTTTTTTTTAAATTGGTCTTTCCTAAGTTCACTTCTGGGTAACTGTAAATTATTGCACAATGAATATCTTTAGAAGGCCCGGGAACTCTCTCTTCCCGGAGGTTAACAAAAGACACCTTACTTCTTGCACCTGCATTTAGCATGTTGGGGAGTCTTAGACTCCCTTCTGAACTTGGATGCAGAGTTATAGGTCTCCAAAGAAAACAGGCTTGTTTTGACATGAGAGGACTCCTTTAGTACCTGCTGTCCCTAGGCCATGCTCTTGGGACAAGAACACTGGAAGGTTTGCAGGGCCCGAGGAAGACTCAGTCCCTCCCCTGGCCTTGGATGTTGTCACACTGTGCTGAGGTGAGAAAAAATTTGGCCCTTCAAGGTTTCCTGAGTGTCAGGTGAGGTTGGGCACACAGGTTCAGATCCTGGACTCCAAAGGGCACAGCATGGGAGAGCATCTGCCCGCGTCCCAGTGCATGGGGCTAAGCAGGTGCTGGGGAGGGGTAGCGTGGCCCGCGGCTGATGCAACAGGCTGTTATATTCAATTGTGTCTCTTTCATCCTTTTGCTTTTATCCTAGCGCCCTTCCCCACTGCTAACTACTGACCTGTATTTTAGAGGCCTGTGGTAAGGTTACATTCCTTACATGTACTGCCTACATGAATTATTACATGGCTCACTCTCTCTCACCATTTTGGCTCCTCATTCTGTTTGGAAGATCCAACCACATGGCTGGGTGCTTATCTCGTCCGTTGCTTCCAACCACTGTACTGTTCTCCATAGAGTACATACAAAAAGTAGTTTTAGAAACACTCTGGTTGCAAAATGTAAAGAGCGGCCAGTGCGTGGGCCGTGTTCTGGAATGTCAGATCGCAGGAACAGTGCCATGGGCCCTACGAGCATGCTCACCGTAACGGTCCAGAGCTAATGCAATAGTGCAGACAGGTGAGGAGGCATGAGACACATGGCTCTGCGTTGAGGAACACTAGCTGTTTTTAGGACTTTTAACATAGATAACTCATCTGTGGAGTCACCCCTGGCGAGGGCCCCTGACTCCTCATGGTGAAGGGCAGGAGGAACGCACCCACTTGGGCATCTTGCCACCGTCGGGGTCGTGGTGGTGGTACTGAAGCACAATCACCGTCACGACCACGGAGAGACTCACGATGATCATGGTGCTGGCGAAGTACTGGGCTGCAGAGACAAGAGACGCAGGGTGAGCCCCGGGCCCCCCACGGCACAAGCATCGCAGCGTGGCAGGCAGACCCAGACAGCGCTCTCTGATCGCCTGCGACCAGGTGGTGAAGCCTAGAGCAGGGCAGGGCTGCCTCCGGGCCGGCAGACCCGCACCCCCCACCCCCAGCTCACGTTCCCGGCAGGCAGAGGCCAGCACAGAGCATGCACACCTGCTTTCCCATCCACATAAGCTGCCTGGCCTGGCTGTCTGCACTTCTGTGAACGCCATCGGCCTCTTCCTCCAGTGAGGGTTAACAGTGCCTCATAGGATGCCGATACGGTTGTTCTCAGGAGAAAGGCTGTGGACCGTTATGGGAACTGAGAATAACGGGGTAGTGAGGGTCTGGTCCCCACCGTGATAACTGCAGGCCAGGGACATGCTGGGGTGGGCAAATCTGGGCATCACGGGTGGGGTACCTTATTAGTGTGGAAGATGAGTCTGCTCCCATTTAATGAGAGATAGGAGGAGGTGCCAGTTATCTGAGGAAGACGGGGAAGACATTGACTTTCCCGGCTGAGAAGATCAGCTTCAGCTCCGATGGGCAAGGATGCATTTCTCCACCTTGGCCCAGGTGAGAAGAAGCATGGAGCATCTGAAGCAGCTCTCCCCTAACCCACTGCCCCTGTCCATGAGTTCAGACATCTATGAGTTTAGATAGGCTACTCAGCCTGCCTGGGCCTCAGGTTCTTCACGAGTATAACAAGGATGGCAATGCCTTCTTCTGCAGGGTTGGTGCAAGAATTAGCAAGTATATGAGCCAAGAATCTAGAAGAAAGCCTGGCAAAGGGAAGACATTCCTTGATTGGCAACTCCGGTTATTAAACCTTTGGTGTGGCTTTCAGCTCAAGGGGGCTGATCTCTAAGCAGAGAATATCCTGGTGCAGAGGCTAAGTGCATGGCCACACACCTGGTTAAGAACGCCTCCTTCTCAGGCGCCTGGGTGGCTCAGTTGGTTAAGTGACTGCCTTCCGCTCAGGTCATGATCCTGGAGTCCCGGGATCGAGTCCCGCATCGGGCTCCCTGCTCAGCAAGGGGTCTGCTTCTCCCTCTGCCCTCTTCCCTCTCATGCTCTCTGTCTCTCATTCTCTCTCTCTCAAATAAATAAATAAAATCTTTAAAACAAACAAACAAACAAAAAAAACACAAACGCCTCCTTCTCTCCAGGCAGGAAGGAACTCACTGCCCCACTGTGAGAAGCTGCCAGAGATGGACGTTTGAGACTTCAAGTTAGCACCAGGGACCTCTAAGAAGGGGAAGGAGGGTGAACAAAACTATGACTGCTATGGGCTGGGTGGGTTGTGGCCTCCTAAAATTTAGATGTTGAAGCTCTAGCCCCTGGTATCTCAGAATAGGACTGTATTTGAAGACAGGGCCTTTAAAGAGGGGATTAAGTTCAAATGGGGTCCTTAGAGTGGGACATGACCCAATCTGACTGGTGTCCTTATAAGAGGGGAACTTTGCCCACACAAGGGGGTACCAGGGATGCACCCAGATAGGAAAGACCATGTGAGGGCACAGCAAGAGGGTGGTCATCCACAAGGCAAGCAGAGAGGCCTCAGTAGATATCAAACCTGCTGGCACCTTGGTCTTGACTTCCAACCTCCAGAACTCTGAGCAAATACTTTTTTGTTCTGTAGGCACCCGGTCTGTGGAATTTTACTGTAGCAGCCCTAGCCGACCAAGACAATGACTTGTGGAGGTATCCAGGGTCAGAGGATCGCACAGCTGAAATCTCAACAACAGAGGTCAGAGGCCAATAGGAGCCCATCTTTCTAGACATGGGCTATGCATCAACCATGCCTTTTCCCCACTGGTCCATCAGTCAAGGCAAGGCTGCCCATTGTCCCACAGAGGGTGCTTCCTGTTGCAAGTCTCTATTGAAAGCATTGTGTTGGAAGGTAGGAAGAGTGGGTCAGACCGTCAAGGTGAAACATGGTTCCTTGTCCTCTAGATGGTCGTGAGAGAACTAGGAACACCCATACAGGTTTTTCATACCAATACTGTCTCTCTCTGACCAAAATATTACACATTAAGGGAAAAAAGAAGAGCTTTGGGAGTATCTGTGTAAGAGAAATAGGCTCCCCTACTCCTATCCTCCCTTGTTAACTACAAAGGGTGGCCCTCCATTCGCCTGGGCCAACAGGAATAATCATAGACTCCATTCTTCTTTCTGAACTCCATCACCAAACTGGAGGAGTGATTCTCATATGAAACCAAATATCCACCATCAGACTGTCTGCTTCCCATTAGGCTGGGAGTCTGGTTCCCTGACCAGTAACAGAGCCCTGGCTGTGGTGGCGAGAGTACCAGATCCTGACCGCTAGACCACTGAGCACCTCTGTGCACGTTCCTGCTTATTCCACTCCAGGGAGGCGCACAGGCACAAGGGGTGTTATCTCCTGTTTCTGTCATCCTGCCTTGGGCAGAAGGTCATGCCTTATATCTGTCTTGGCTAAAACATATTTGTCCTGTTTACATTTTCTCACAAGCTTTAACTTTATCCAGAGACATCGAGGTATCTCAGGAAACAATGGCCAAGAGTTAAAATGTGAGCTCCTCCCATTTTGACAAAGGATTTGTGGAAGAACAATGACTCAAAGCTAAAGTAACAAATCTCTAATGGTAAAATCTCTGGCTGCGTAACAAGTGTGATGGGGAGAACGACGGGAGGAAGGGTGCGTTTCTGCACCTTCAAGCCAAACCACAAAGCTCGACTCCCCACACTCCCCCTACATGTGCCCAGGTGAACAGAGGCCATGGGCCATTCGAACAGGTACAGAAAGTCACTCCTCCTGGGGCCATGTGGCTCTCCAGGGCCCTCTCTAAGCCCGTGTCTTCAAGAGAGGCCTGACACCTGCTTACCTATCAAGGGCACCGAGTCGGATGTCGCAGGCATGATCTCAGCCACCAGCAACATGAAGACAGTGAGAGAGAGTAAAACCGTTATCCCTGAAACATAAACACAGCAGTGCCTGAGACCCAAGAGGTGATAAGGCCTCAAGTCCATTAACTGTGCCTTATCTGAGATTCAAAGAACTAGGGAGGTGTAGGGGAGGGGCCAGTGACATTCTGAAACCCAGGGCAGGGTTCTCTGTATGCAGGGGCATGGCCATTTTTCTGGGGGCTGTTCACAGCATTTACCAGAGTCTCAGATGGAGGTAAGCTTAGGAGCCAGAACTTTAGAACAACGATACAAAATGAACTACTGAACCTAACACAAGTATCTCTCATTTTCTTAATTACATTAGGATTGAGAGGTAGTTACATATAGCAGAGGAAAAAAAAAAAAAAAAAACATGCAATCTTAAGACCTTTTGGTCTTGACTTTGCTACTTACTATCTGTGTGACCATGGATAAGTTACTTAACGTGCCTGAGCCTTGCTGTCAGAAGATATAGGTTGGAGGATGATTTCTACATGTACTAAATATGACCTTTAATAACTCTAAGATGTTGAGAAATTCATTTCACCATTCTAAGTCTTAGTTTTCTTATCTTCCTATTGGATGATCATAAGGAATTACCCTGTGTATGGCAATATACAGATACAAACTGATACTAAACTAACTAAACTGTTTCCTGTCCATAACAAATGCTGGCCAGTTGCTCCCAAGGAATAGGATGGGGTGGCAGGAGAAGAGAAAGTAAGGCCCCTCAGGACAGAACCCAGTGGTCTCTTCCTGGGCATCTTCTGTGGAGGATCAGAGGATATTACAGATTTTCAGGAGGGCACTGGGCATCTAGCATGAAGCCTAAATCAGGAGCCGTGGTGTTGGGGAGATGCCCTGGGCTGGGAGGTCAGTGTGTGATGCACCAAGCAGGCTCTCCACATCTCTGCACCCAGAGCCATCCTGCACCGTCCACAGGGATCCCTACAGAGCTGACCTCAAGGCAAGGCCCTCCCATCCTGTCTCAGACTCCTGCCCAAGATCAGGACACTTACCCAGGGAAATCTTCTCCCCTGAATCTGCAGGGAGCAAGAATACGAGGAGGGCCAGCGCAGAGATGAGCACACAGGGGATGAGCAGATTGAGGCCATAGTAGAGGGTCCTGCGGCGAATGGTCACTGTGAAGGTGACGTCTGGGTAGGGCTCTTTGCAACACTCATAGAACTTCTCACTCCGCTTGCCTGGGATTCCTCCATGAGCAACAGAGGAAAGGAACAGTGTCTGAATAAAATTACCCTGCTTGTTTATTTTAATGAGTATATCATACAAATAACCATGGAATTTGCTAAGTGCTAAAAAAACAACAACAAAAAAACCTTGGTCATCAGTGTTTGAATAAACTCTGGTATGTTAGAGTTGTTCAGGAATATCTTAGTGATAATGGAACAAACTGGGAGAATTTTTTTAGTGGATTGAAACTAGATGTATATATGGTAAATGTTTGTGTCCCCCTCAGTATTCCTATGTTGCAACGCTAACCCCCACAGTGATGACATTTGGAGATGGGACCTTTGGGATGGGATTATTGCCCTTACAAAAGAGGCCTAGAGAACTCCTTAGTCTCTGCTGTGTAAGAAGACAGCCAGCTATGAACCAGGAAGCAGGCCCTCAGGAGACACTGGATCTGCCTTGATCGTGGACTCGATCTTGGACTTCCCAGCCTCCAGAACTGTGATAAATAAACTTCTGCTGTTTATAAGCCACCCAGTCTATGGCATTCTGTTTTAGCAGCCTGAAGGGTCTAAGACACCACGATTATAAATAATACATTATGAACTTTACAACATTACAAATGTAATTACTGTTTTTCTATTTAAAATCATTGAATATAGGTTCTCATGAACTGCAATTTGCTATCCAACCTGATTTTAGGAATGGAGCAGATGCTAATAAAATAGCCTACACTAGCACTGACTTGTTTAAACAGCTGCACGTTTTCATGGGAAGTGTTGAATTTCCTAATTGTTTTTTACTTCTTATTGTATAGCTCTCAGTAAATTATAGAGATTGCTGCAGGGTTCAATAAATGCTCACACTGGGGCGCCTGGGTGGCTCAGTTGGTTAAGCGATTGCCTTTGGCTCAGGTCATGATCCTGGAGTCCCGGGATCGAGTCCCGCATCAGGCTCCCTGCTCGGCGGGGAGTCTGCTTCTCCCTCTGACCCTCCCCCCTCTCATGCTCTCTCTATCTCATTCTCTCTCTCAAATAAATAAATAAAAATCTTAAAAAAAAAAAATTTAAATGCTCACACTGAAAAGCAGAGTGGAAAATCCCAAACTTCCAAAGCCAGCACAGGAACAAAAAGTGGCTTTCTACAAGGCTGCTAGTCTCACGTCTTTGCTGGGCTTACCCACAAGGTCCCATTCTCCATTTGGTATATATCCACTGATATCTGCCTCTTGCATCTGTAGATCCAAGGACCACCCTCCGTAAGACCAGGACCCAAACTTCAGTTTGCACTGCTGCACATCAAAGGGGAACCAGCGCACGTCGATGTAGCAGGAGCTCTTGAATATGCCTATATGGGCAAAAAAACAGTCAGAAAACTGAAATGGAAGGGGACCAAGCTGGGCTTTAAATACACAGCAGTCTCACACTGCTGGTGGGAAAGCAGACTGGTGCTGTCATTATGAAAACAGTATGGAGATTCCTAAAAATATTAAAAACAGAACTACTATATGATCCAGTAACCCCACTTTTGGGTATATATGCAAAGGAAACAAAATCACTATCTGGGAGAGATATCTGCACCGCCATGTTCATCATGTTCACGGCAGCAGTATTTGCAATAGCTGAAGAATGGAAACAAGCTAAGTATCCATCGACGGATGAATGAAAAAAGAAAAAGATTATCAAATCATCCACACACAATGGAATACTATTCAGCCTTAGGAAAGATGGAAATCCTGCCATTTGCAATAACATGGATGAACCTGGAGGGCATTATGCTAACTGAAATAAGCCAGACAAAGATAAATACTGTATGATCTCACTTACACGTGGATTTGGGGAAAAAAAAAAAAAAAGCTGAACTCATAGAAACAGTGAGTTGCCAGGGGCTGGGGGAGGTGGGGAAATGGACTGTCCAGGGGTACGAACTTTCATTTACAAGGGGAATAAGTTCAGAGGATCTAATGTACAGCGTGGTGACTCTAGTTAATAATACAATATACTTGAAATTTGCTAAGAGAGTAGATCTTAAACATTCCCACGGACAGCAAAACAAAACCCAACCATGTAAGGTGATGGATGTGTTAACTTGATTGTGGAAGTCATTTTACAAAGTATGTGGTATATTAAGTCATCATGTTGTACACCTCATTACAATTTCATTTGTCAACCATACTTCAATAAAGATGGAAAAAAATTGAAATAATTGTAAGTAAATAAATAAATAAACACAGAACTATCCCTTGGGTCTCTAACCTCATATGCTGTTCACAATATGCAGTGACTCTTCTTCCTGGAAAGGGTTGGTGAGTTAAACGATACATTATTTTTGATGTTCAGCATGTCTTTTTGATCAGTGTCTTATGCACCCATTGTTCTGGCCCACCTGTGTTCCCTTCAAGAAGCTGAGGCGTAGGCTCCTGGGCCTCTAGACTGGGTGTGACCAGAGAGGTCTTCACCCCCTCCTCCTCCTCCAAACTACAGCTAGACCTGTCCAGAATAAACTTGGTTTTGTTTTTTTTTTTTTGGAAAAATCTCTAGAAAGGAAGCTCAGCTGAAGCTCCACTGTCTTTTAAAATTCACAGACAGGGGTGCCTGGGTGGCTCAGTCGTTAAGCGTCTGCCTTCGGCTCAGGTCATGATCCCAGGGTCCTGGGATTGAGCCCCGCGTCTGGCTCCCTGCTCAGCGGGAAGCCTGCTTCTCCCTCTCCCACTCCCTGTTTGTGTTCCCTCTCTCGTTGTGTCTCTCTCTGTCAAATAAATAAATAAAAATCTTTAAAAATAAAATAAAATAAAATAAAATTCACAGACAACACCATAATGCTCTGTTGAAGACGATTCTTAAGGATTTCTGGGCAAAGAATTAGAAGTTCTGTAAACTTGCTCCTACCATGTCTATGCATCTTCAAACTCTAATAGGAGAAAAGTAAAGAATGTAAAAAACAATCCCAGATAAACTGATAAAAATGATGACTGGTTTAGAAGCAGAATATAAAAGGGACGTGTGTGTGTGTGTGTGTGTGTCTGGTGAGGAGCAGGGTGGGCATTCCCGTAGGTTAAAAATTGAGAAAAAAAATACTGGGGCACCTGGGTGGCTCAGTCGGTTAAGTGTCTGCCTTCAGCTCAAGTCATGATCCCAGGGTCCTTGGATCGAGCCCCACATCGGGCTCCCTGCTCAGCGGTGAGTTTGCTTCTCCCTCTCCCTCTGCCCCTCCACATCCCCCTCCTCATGCTCTCTCTCTCTCAAATGAATAAATAAAATGTTTTAAAAAATTGAGAAAAATACTTGGTTATCTGGAAATATATGTGCAGGATAATTCTAACTAGTTTAGATTTTAGATTAAGAACAAAGACTGATAGGTTTAAGTTGAAGACAGTGCTTGTGCACAAATGGGAGTTTCCACTGAAGAGTGACTTCAGCCTAAGACAAATTGGAGGTGAATTTCTGGCAGGTTATGGAGAGGAGACCAGATAAGCCCCCTCCAGCAATTTATGCCCCTGTGCTCTTCCCTGCCCAGAAAAAGGCTTGAAGACAGTGGAAGGCACAAAGAGCTAAGGGTGCCCTCTGTTCCTGGGGACAGGCTCAGAGCTCCATATATTTTTGCTACTAAATTAAAAAAAAAAAAAAAATGAATGGAGGAAGGGACTCAGCAGCCTTGCAAACACAAACCCTCACCCCACAACCAAGCTGGGAAAGAATAAAAAATGTCCTGTCCTCTCAAGTTCCTTTAAGTACCATGTCCAGTGTTCACAAGAATACACGGATGCTGCCCTCCCATTAATGGGAGCAATCTCCCAAAACCCACACTACTTGTGGAAAATGTAACTCTATAACTGAATTATTCCATTTCCATGAAATGGTCAGAGAAAGAGAGTCTCTAGAGGTAGAAAGCAGATCAGTGGTGGCCCGGGGCTGGCAGTAAGGGTGGGGATTAACTGCAGAATGGCAAAAGGGATCCTCTCGGGGTGATAAAAAATGTTCTAACCCTAGATTTTGGTAATGGTTGTACAACTCTGTGAAATTACTAAAAATCACTGAATCGTGTACTTAAAATAGGTGAACTGTATGATATGTAAATTATACAATAAACCTGTTAAAGATAAAAATGTGAAATAGAAAGGTAATTTCATAACCAAGTCTCTATTTCAAATCCTGCACCCAAAATACTTTTTTTTTTTTTTTTGCCTGTACTTGGTTGCTTGAACAGAACAGCATCCCAGATCAGTTTTCCATGACCCCAGGGCACAGGCTTGCTGCCTCAGGCCAGAGAGCTCCATACAGCTCCTGCCAATGTAGGGGAGACTCCCACACTCACAGCACAACACACCCTGTCCTTCCCAGGCTCCTGGGGCCATGAAGGCTGGGACACAGGCACAAAGCCCCAGAGGGGGCTGCTACACACAGGCCGCTTGGGGATCAGGAATGCTGCTTCTTGTAGCTGAAAATAGCCTCAGCCCTCAAAACAATCTGCAGTACCATATTCTTGTATACTGATGACTGCTGGAGATCGTTTTCTAAAATAGCCCTCATAATAGAAACTGCAACTCACAGGCTGGGGAAAAAGGATGTATGGGTGTGTGATGGCAGCCTCATCCCATAGCTTCCATCCCCCAGGGGCCTGCTGTTAGGTGGAAAACATGCTTCAGCTGGGGGAGGGGTGAAGGAACCAGGGAAGGAGCAAGGAAGCCCATGTTTTCAGATGGAAAACCTGAAAATCTGTGGTTCTTCAGTCTGTACAAACATTATTGGGAGGTGTCTGCCTTTGATGGGTTTAATCACTCATGCATTCATTTATGAACAGGTGGGCCAGGCACCTGGTTGATTAGTGGTGGTTCTAAGGTGTGTAAACACAGAATCTGCCCACGGGATGCTTATCATCTGCTAATGAGGAAGAATGTGTAAGCAACAACTAAGAAGACAAGGCCAGCTTTGCTGTGTGCTGTGAAATGAAGATGTGAGACTGGGGTTCCCTGTGGCAGAAAGGCTGTGTGTATGTGTGTGTGGGGGGGTAAGTGTGGTGTGTAGTGTGTGTATGCAGGGGTTGTGGTTGGTGTGCGAATGTGTGTGCAGGAGGTATGCATGTGGGGTGTGTGGTGTGTAATGCATGTGTGGTGTGTGTGGAGGATAGCAGGTGTGTGTATATGGTGTGGGGTGTCTGTGTGGGGTGTGTGTGTGTGGTGTGTAGAGTATGTATGTGGGGGATGTGGGTGGTGTGTGAATATGTGTGGATATGTGTGTGGGAGAGATATGTATGTGGGGTGTATATGTGGGGTGTGGGGTGTGTGTGGTGTGTAATGTGTGTGTGTATGGTGTGTGGGGGGGGGCGAGTGGTCGGTGTGTGGATATGGTATGCGGTGTGTGTATGGTATGTATGTGGTGTGTAGTGTGTATGTGGGGGTGTGGTGGTGTGTGAATGTATGTGGATATGTGTGTGTGGGAGGTATGGATGTGGGGTGTGTATGTTGAGGGGGGGGTGTGATGTATAATGCGTGTGTGTGGTATGTGCCGGAGTGGTAGGTGTGTGGATGTGGTGTGTGGTGTGTGTATGGTGTGTAATGTGTGTGTGTGGGGGTGAGTGGTAGGTGTGTGGATATGCTGTGCGGTGTGTGTGGGGGGGCAAGTGGTAGGTGTGTGGATGTGGCGTGCGGTGTGTGTGTGTTTATGTTGGTGTTGATGTTGGAGTTGGCTGCAGATTGCCTGGGACCAGGAAGTTAAACAGTTGCAGTGGGGGAGAAAATCCTGGAAAAGAACATGTAAAAAAAATCAACCTAAAGATTTTTAAAACTCTGTTAATATCTGCCTCAAAGCATTAAAACGCAGGTTCCCTATGCTCTGTATTATTCAGTGAGCAGCCCAGGGCCCAATGAATTGAGAGAAATGAGGGGCTGGTGGGAAAAAAAAAATCAATCCCAGGAAGCAGTTAACCATCAGCTGGTTGCAAAGGAGAGAAGCTCAGTCAGGAATAAGGCACTACTGAGCCCCACTCTGAAACCACTTGCTCTTATATTTAACATGCAAGTGCTCCTTCATGCACATCCTCAAGAAGCCAGCAAGTCCACCATCTCGCCCCCAGCACCTGGAGAGCAGCCCCTGCCAAGACACGCAGTCTGGCAGGAGAGGAAGTGGCCGGCTGACATGGAGGAGGGAGAGCCTGGGGGTTTGCCTTGCAGGCTGTAAGGAGAACTGGAAGTGACCTGAGGAGGGAGACTTGCTTTAGCTGTGGATTAACTTTAAAGAACACTTGGCACCCAATAAGGACATATGACACATGAGCCATGACCCCAAGACAAAAAAGAGGAAGATGGCATTGTCATGTTCAGGAAATATTTGCAAGCACAGAGGGGAAGAAAGCAGCAGGAGTTGGGTATGAATGAGGCAAAGGATGCCCCACACATGTGCGAGCACCATCGGTCTGGCACTCTGAACTCACTTAAATTGTCTAACTATAGGACAAAGAAGTGGGTCTTACCTGGAGGCAGGTACTGGCAATGCCCAGAAGAGTTAACTAACACGTTGGTGTGGAATGTGGCATCGAAGCGCTCATCAGCACTAGAAACATGAGAAGGATTTCACGAGTCAGCACTGCCAGGCGGTCAATCTCCCGGGGCCCTTAGGTCTGTCCTGACTGCAGCTAGAATAGCTTTGAGAAGTGCCACTCTTTGTGCTCGGGTCATGCCGACACCATTTGTAACTGGCCTGGGAGATCTCAGAGCACTGGTTGCTAGTGGCCAATGTCCACCCACCCCCACCATTTCATATGCACTGTGATTTTCATATGCCCATAAAACAAAGTTTTTTTAGCAAAAGTTAAACCTGAAGACAATTTCATAGGACATCCGCTGATGAGACATTTCTATCTGTAGGAGATAAAGAGTGGGTAAAGCACTCTGCCACTGATCAGGGATTTTGACCTACTATCTCCAAAGCTCCAGTTCCAGCTTCCTGAATGCACCCAATGCTTGGTTGGTGCTTAACCAATATATCTTGAGTGACTGAACTGTAAGCACAGGAGGCTGTGGGGCACCACCAGAGCCCAGAGGCATCCTGGGCTCCATGATTAGCGATGACAGGAAGGAGGGCAGGTGAAGAGAGCAGAGTTAGGTACAGGTTTTAGATAGGTGCACCCCAGCCCCCTCCCTGCCCAAGTTCAGAACCTCCCACAGCCAGGAGTTACCAACTTGAACAAAGGGGGTGGAAGACACAAAACAGGAAAAAGAAGAACAATTAAAGCCAACAGCCCTTATTATCCATGTCTTTTATCTTCTGTATTCTGATGCTTTGCGGACCCTGGAAGAACCGTGCCCCCTCCACTCCCAGGTTAGCTAGTTCCTAGAGACAGGAAACAACACGCTCACCAGTGCATCTCTCAAATGCAAACCTGCTGATCCAGAGCCTACACCCCAACCACCTCCTTTATCAGGGTTTCACACTCCAGCCCTCTATCCCTCTGTCCTAATAACCTGAGGGCCAGGTACCAAGCAACTAGGGACAGCTCCTATGACTCAGAGTCCACTGAAATTCTTCAAACTAACCAATCCTAACCCTGCTCACCCTGCCTCGCCAGTTCTAATCCACGGAAACAACAACAAAGGCTCTTTCCCATCCAAGAAGACGCTGTCAACCAAAGGACTAAAAAATTGCTCCTTAAAAAAGTAATATCCTCACAGAAATTCAAGAGGATATTGCATCTAGTAAAACAAAGAGCAATATGAAAGTTAAAATATGATTTATGAAATAAATTTTTATAAATGGGTGGGAGGTTTGGGGCTGAGAAGAATTACAGAGATGAAATGTAGGACAGAGATGAGGAAAGCCCCCAGAGTACAAGACCAGAGGAACTCACTGGACAGATGCTGAAGAGACAAAAGGGCGGGAGATAATTACCCAAGAAATCACAGAGAGACATGCTAGAGCTGAAAGAAACTAGTCAAGCACGAAGGCAAAGTAAGGCACTTTCACAGATTTAGGGGCTCAAAGGGCTGGTGTCCCATGTATATTTTCTCGGTCATGGATTTGAGGATGAGCTCTAGGAAAATGAGGGTAAATACTGAAAAAAGAAGAAATAAAACTTTTGGACTAAACCTGGGTATCAAGAAAATGTATTTCTATGATGAGCTGTGCAGTGGGCCTAGAAAAGGCGGGGGTGGGGGATGTTCCCAAATTACAGCAAGAGATGAGGAGTCTCTGAGGAGAGTGAAGTAGATTCAGAGCAAGAGAGAAGAGAAATAAGCTGGAAAACACCATGCATTCTATCAAGGACACATTTTTAAAAATCACTGTAATAAGAAAGAAAAATATCAACTAGAAACTTCGGGGGAAAAAAAACCTATACAAAAAAGCCAGGGTATGACTATGAAACAAAAATGTGATGAAGTGCAGAGGAAGAAGGAGGGGAGAGAGACTAAGCTACCAGGAAAGGATAATCCTTTGAGATGAAGGACACTCCTACCTCCTTACTTGCAAGCACACACAGGGAGAAAGAGGAGGAGACAGGGTCAAGATGCAAATATTCTCTGCTTGATTGTGGTCTGTACCCAACTTTCTCCATGAATCACATGATAAACAGTGACGGAGCACAAAACAGCTGAACATGTGGACCTGCACAAAATCGCTCTAGAGCAAACCACGATTTTCAAACCAGGTTCTCTGGAACCCTGAGCTTCTCTGGGTATGCTCTGGGGTTTCTGCACCTGTGGATTCTGATAATCTCTCTTCCTTGTAGTCTAAAAGGCGAATAAAAGTCCAAACACATTCAAATGACTTTTGGAAAATTCTCTCTTCAGACCAGACAACCGATGGATTACTACATGTGGCCCATTTAACTCCTTTTTTGGCTGAAAGTTAGGCTAAAACTTCTCTTGCCATGCCTGTGCATATCTTTGAACCTCTTGTAAATGAGTCGCCCAGTAAGGTTTCAGTTTTGCACTGCTCTTTTTAAAAATCCACATCTGAGCCTACAATTCCAGCGTAGAACCCGGACCCCACCTCACAGCACCCGATCTCACCACTGCAACAACTGAAACTGTCTTGTGACACATGACACAGGATGCATGGTTTTGCTTATTTTAAGCTTGGGTTTCTTCTTGTCTGATTTTTATATTTATAACAAAGACTGTGAGCATCTGTTAGATCAGTGACTTAATTCTGGAAGGAAAAAAAAAAAAGAATTCCTCCCAGTTCTTCCTCCACACATTTGGATCAATTTAATTGAAGAGACTCTTGAGATCACAAGACAAATGAGTAAAAACAAGATAAAAATCGGTTTCCATTAGCAACAGTTTACCTGTGCGACTCACTGATTTCTAAATACAGTTCAACCAAAACAGAATATTGAGATAAACAGAACTGTAACACTGTTATCATTATCAACATGCAAATCTTAATATTCATTTTGGCAGACTTAGAGTTCTCTGCTATTTTATACGTCAATGATATAAAAGTAGACTGCTGTAATAATTGTATGCTAATACCACTTATCTGTTTTGGCCATTAGAGCTGGAGATGAGGTTTGTTTGGAGGAGGGCTCTATTGCCAAAAACTGAGGCTGAACACAGCTCTGTGAAACCTGAGTGGCCCCAAACTAGCCATGACACGGGAGGTAACAGTATTAGCTGCTTGTCTCGGGGCCCAGCACTAGGTGCACGTGCAGTGATGTACACGGGAGCCAGGGGATGGCGAGCACGAGGCCGTGTGATAATACAATCTTGCAGTTGGCACACACTGATAACCCTGGGAACTGGGGTGCATCCACAGGACTCGGTTCACTTCTCCTTCTGTTCTGGTGAGCATGTGAAACTTTCTGTATTAAACAGTTTGAATATATATACTGTTTATGTACTTAAGACCCTTCTTGACGACTCAGGCATGTGGCTGCTTCATTTTGTTCAACAGCTCCTCTCTCCAGCTGCCTGGGTCCTTGTCCAGCCAGCAAAGGACAGACAATTGGTGTGGGGAGAACTCTGGGGGCACCCCCACCACTAATTGGGCAACAAAGGGCAATGGGGCCTTGTCACTGAAAAGTAACCATGGAGAGGAGGGATATTTAGCCCAATTATTCAGGGTGCAGATCCTAATATCCTTCGTGGAATGGTCAGGAAGAAAGGGCAACTGGACAGGCTCTAAAGATGGGCATAATTCCAGCAGGTAGAAAGGAAGGTTGGTGCATCCCCAGCAGAATGCATGGTCCAATCACATGCCTGGAGGTAAACTAGACAGAGAGAAGCTTCATGAAGGTATGGTTTGCCTGGGAGTGAGGTGTCGCCCCAACACCTTAGTTTAGCACTTGCCTTAGCAGGAAGGCCAGCATCATGGCTTGAGAGAAAACCATGGGTGGCCATGGCTGCAGGATCCAGGGTTCAATGCTTATGGATTAACTGCAAGCTGTGCTTTCAGAAGTCAGTGAAGGCACAGGCACGCAGAAGTGAACCTGGGGTCTGGGATTAGATTTCTTCCTGTTCTCCATCCCCCTGGAGCTCATGCCCTGCTTGGTTCCACCCCAGCTCCTGACTCTGGAAGCAGAGCCTCTGAACCTAGCTCAGTGCAGCTTCCTGCTCAGCTTGCCCTGTAGCACTGACCCCCACTGCCGAGCCTGGAGCAGCTCAGCCCTAAGCCAGGGAAAAGAAAGTGACCACGCCACTCACAGCATCATCTGGCCCTGAGTCCAGCTGTCAGTGCCCTGAGAGAGAAGAACAGGGTGGCCAGCCATCAAGGAAGCCCAGAAAGACCAACTCCCAACAGGACACATGCTCACTAAACTAAAACTCTGTATATAGGTAATGCTGAAGGATTAGGGAAAAAAAAAAAACCCAGGGTCACCCTGCTGTATCAAAGAGGGCACTGGGTGTATGGGCTCATGAGGACTCTAATGAATAAGGACTCGTATGCAGCCCATCCTGTCCCCGCTGAGCTCACATAGTCTTTGAAAGGAAACAGAAAAGCAGAAGAGAAGAAAAATGATCTCAACTGTTCTCACCACAAAATGAAATAATGATTATGTGATGTGATAGAGGTGTTAGCTAATGCTACAGCGGTAATCATATTGCAATATACACACGTATCAAATCAACATGCTGCACACAGTATACTTACATTAGGTTATATGTCAATTATATCTCAATACAAAACAATAAAATTAAAATGTTGGAAGGGAAAAAAAAAGTAAAGGAGGAAGACAGAGAGAGCCAATCATCTCAAAAGACAGTGGATTTAAGGTATCATTTATATTAAATCTCTTAAAAAAAAGCTGTCAGTTACATGCTAAGACATCTCTGGTGTAAGGTATGCCTAGATGTCAGAGGGAAAACAGTCTGTTTAAAATAGAGGCATGGGGTGGGTGGGTGATAGACATTGGCGAGGGTATGTGCTATGGTGAGCACTGTGAATCGTGTTAAGACTGCTGAATCACAGACGTACCTCTGAAACAAATAATACATTATATGTTAAAAAAAAAAAAAAGAAGAAGATAGTAGGAAGGGAAAAATGAAGGGGGGGAATCGGAGGGGGAGATGAACCATGAGAGACTATGGACTCTGAGAAACAAACTGAGGGTT